AGGGGGGGGGAGAGAGTCTAGGGGGGATGTTTTGGCCTAAGTGAAACACAAACAGCCACTTTCGATGATCTGGAAATTACACAATTATGTTATTAGTCTCAATATGGTTTTTGATGATTTCATAGGTCTCGGGGTTTGGTTCCCTCAATATTTGTGTTGAACTCGTTGGGAGAGGCATAATTTTGGCCAGGCTATGGAACAAAAATTCCAAGTTGGCAATATTGGGGCACTGAAGTAATATATGTTCTATATCACCAGTGGCGCCACATGAGCATAAATCTGTTGTTGAGATGTTAATTTTCTTCATATAAGTTGGGAAGAGGCCATGTCCTATTCTTAGTCTTGAGATGATGTTTGATAATCTTTTGTTGAATTGGATTTTCTCGAACCAGGAGATAAAGGAAACTTTTTCCTGTATTCCATACAGTCTTCTGCCGGTGCAGGAAGATTCCCATTCTTCTTGCCATTTTTCCATGGCTTTTTTCTTCAAATGCGGAAGGAAGTTAGAGTAATGGATTTTTTCTTGAGTATAGTTGATCGAGTTGTTCAACATCTTGGTTCCTAGGTCAGCTTTTTCGTTTCCAGCTATACCTTCATGTCCTGGGGTCCAGACAAGCTTGACGTTTGGGTTTTCCATGAGGAATTTTTTGATTCTTAGTAATTCACCGTTGTCGCACTTACTTAAATCAGAGTTTAGGGCAGAGACATTACTCTTGGAGTCGGTACAAATAAAGGCACCAGGGGAGCCGAGGAATGTTATTAAGTTGGCTGCCTCAAGAATGGCTTTGCATTCTGCACTGTAGACTGATCGCATAGGGTTTAGCGACCAGGTTAGGGTTTCTTCGGGTTCCTTGATGTATACAGCTGATGTTGTGAAGGTGTCAGTCTTACTTCCATCAGTAAACAAAAACGTAGCATTAGAATGTTCCGACATAAAATCCAGAAAAATATCATTGGGGTTGATAGATCCTTTATTTCTAATTGGCTGTGGTATGTGGAGTTCCTTGCTGAAATCGGTGGAATGAAATATTTCGGAGTCAGATCTGATAAATTTCAAAATTGGGCGATTATCTATTAGCCTGCTAATCAAGAAAGGTACGGATTTGTTCCACCAGTAGCTGTAGTTGGTGTAAAGTGTGATTAGATTAACCATGGTATGTTTTCTAGACTGTTGGTCGAAGTTGTAGTTTTTAACTATGAATTTGTCGGTCAGGTATTGAGCCCTTATCGAAGGCGGGGGGATGCCTACTTCAACGTAGGTTGCACTATTTGGAGATGATTGGAGTAGTCCAAAGACACTTTTGATGCTCTTATTGATAATAACATTCAGGGTTTTCAGATTAACCCGGTTAAGGTAAAATGGGACGCCAAATTCGAAGAGTGGGTAAATGAGCGATTTTGCTAGGATTTTAAGGATTTTGGGATTGCAGCCCCATTTGGCGCCAGCGATAAATCTGATGAGATTAGTGTTCACCGCCACACGGTCTCTGATGTACTTTAGGTGCAAATTAAAATTCCATCTTTGCTCGTATATAATGCCAAGATATTTGAAATCTGCGACTCGCTCTATCTCCAGATGTCCTAGCATGATTGGAACATAATTAACTAGCCTTTTTCTGGTGAAGATCATGATTTTAGTTTTAGGCTTCGATATTTCCAGCGATAGCTCGTTTAAGAGAAAGGAGTTGATTGTAGTGAGATCCTCTTGAGACTCTGAAATTGCTAGGCCCAAGTTTTGATTATAGTTAATGAGGACAATGTCGTCGGCAAATTCTATGATCATGCAGTGACTGAGGCATCGGTGTACAGATCTTGTATATATTAGATACAATAGCAGGCTTAAGACTGAACCTTGCATTAAACCTATGTAAGAGATGCGGGGGCCAATGGTCTCTCCGTTGAAATTGACAAAGATTTCCTTGGTATGGAAGAGATTAAAAATTAGATTAACCATCTTATCAGGGACTTCACATGCCCTTAGAGTTTGTCTTAACTTATTTAAGTCAACCGAGTCGTATGCTCCTTTAATATCCAAGAATATACAGGCGAGGAAACCTTTCTTGGATATGGAATTAATTATGCACTTATTCAGAATACTGTGGCAGTCGTTCAAGGATCGGAACCTTCTGAAACCATATTGGTGAGGGGACAACAGATTATTCTTCTCCATGAAACGTTCAAGCTTATTCTTCAAAAGTTTTTCAAAGATTTTTCTAGGAAATGATAATAAAGATATAGGTCGGTAAGATGTTGGATGGTTCTCTGGTTTCATTGGCTTCAAGATAGGCTTGATTATCACCTCATTCCACGACTTGGGAATGTTCTCTGTTGATAGAATTTGAATATAAGCGTTGAACAAGCATTTGATAGCAACTTGTGGGAGAGCGTTTAAGATTTTCTTGGTGATCTTATCTTTACCAGGGCATTTATTTTTGATGTTATAAAAAGATTGGAGAAATTCGTCATACGAGAAGGTAAGAGGAGATCCTAAGTTGGGATTTGGGGGTTCCTCTGGAGGAGGGGTGTTTGGTACACTATCAGGAGTGAGATTTTCCAAGTAGGCCTGGCACCACGATGTATCTTTGATTTTAGTTGGTTCCTTGCAATGTTGCAGGGTTTTTAATCTAGTCCATACACTTGTCCTTGGTGTATTAATCGTAAGTGAGGAGCACATACTGTGCCAGCTTTTTCTTTGCTCTTCTTTTACTACGAGTTTAAATTTGGCCGCCTTCTCGTGGTAAATAGCGAGGCTTTCCCACGAGTTGTCAGCTTTCCATTGTTGAAATGCAATATCTCGGATGTTTTTTACAGATTGGCATTTGGCGTTCCACCAAGGTACAAATTTAGATGTCTGGTGCACAGGTGCAGGTTTTTTGGGTGGGCCAGGGGATCGTGCTTCTTCCAGGGACTCTAGGATAATATGCTCCCATTTCTCATATGAGATAGCAGTTTGGTCTTGGACAGCTTCAAATTTCTTCTTCACAACTCTGGTGAACTTTCGGATATGGATCGGACGAGGTTTATGATCTTGGGTGAGGGTATTCTTTTTGTGAAGAGGGTTGTCTGTTTGCAACTGGAAGGTGAGAGGATAATGATCACTGCCTACTGCGATTTGTTGCACTTGGAAGGATACTTTTTGGATTATGCTCTGTTTTACTAGAATCAGGTCATTAACCCCTGGTCTGCAGTTCTTTGAAGCTCTTCTAGTTGGTACCAGATGTTGGTTATTCGCTAGAACCAAATCGTTATCGTTGAAGATATCCATTAGGAGTCTACCTTCATTGGTTGGGTGGGTATAACCCCAGGCAGGGTGCTGAGAGTTAAAGTCGCCACCCAGGATGATTTTTTCTCCATAGAGGGAGCGGAGGACGTTCTCCAATGGGCCAAAGTTACCCCTGTAGAGTGGGTGTTTATAAAAGTTAACCAGATAAATTTTATTTGAGGGACCAAGTTCTAGCTGCACTACTAAAATTTCTATGTCAGTAATTACATTTGAACGATAATTCAGGTTGTCAATCATTTTGCTAGCGAATGAAGAATGAATCGATGTGAGGAGACCCCCTCCATTTCTAACAGCTCCACCTGGATCAACTCCTCTGTCATTTCTGTATGTTACAAAATTTTTAAGTTTGAAATGGTCTGTGCTCTTGAGCCAAGTTTCACAAAGCATGACAAATGAAATTGAATTTAGCCGTATGATATTATCTAGGTCAAATCTATTGCCCTTGGTTAGAACGCTATGAATGTTCCAAGACAGGAAGTTGAGGCTCATGGTAACAATTAAAATATATAGGACTTAGAAAGAGTTGATTTAGTTTCTTCTCTTGCTACCCTTCCTTGAGGATTTTCTCGGCTGGGGCTTAGGTAGCTTTTCCTCATTCTGTGTTGGGGTAAACTCCAATCTTTTAGGAGTTTTGGCGTCCTTTGATTCAACTTTCAGGCTTAAGTTATTATCAGACAAGGTTTCCTGATGCATGTTTTTCCTCATAAGGGTCTTGGAGGGGGATTTCCCGACTTCTGGTGAAATATCGGAGTCTTGGAGGTCCGTATTAAAGTCATTTGCCCAAAAGGATCCTATTAAAGGAGTGGGGCTGTTTGGGGCGATAACTTCATAAGCGCCAACTTGGTCAAGGGAGGCAGAGGGATCAGGGTTGCGGTCCTGTGATGTTCCGCTGTTGTCAATCACTTTAAAGCTGCTACTAGGAGATGGGATCTTATTTACTAGCTCCAATGTAGTAATCTTATGGGCCTGCATGGAATTTTCTAAGACAATCCTGTTAGGAATATCTGTTTCTGAGTAGCTACGGCTGAATATATTACGTTGCAGCCAGTCTACGTTGGGGAAATCATCTGTGACAGTTTTCTTTGCTTGACTCTTAGGCGGTTTGGTACTTTCGCCGTTTTTGGGATTTGTTGGGTTTTTGGGGTTAGTTTCTTTCCTGTTTTGGACCTTCAGGGTAACATTATTTATAATGGGTGGGCTGTTATCCCCTGAGGAAGGTGAGGAATTTTCTTGTAGGGAAAACCTTTTCTTTGTATACGCATTCAAAAAATATACATCGCCGTAGGATTTAAGAGATGCGTTGGCTTCTCTGTACGGGACACTTTTTTCTGCCATTATGTAGTTTACCTTATAATTAGTGAACCACTCTGGGCAGGAAGGGCTATTCGAGAGATGTTCTCCCTTGCAATTTAGACATCTTAGTTCTCCACCCTTACAATCAACTTCAGGATGGATTCCTATCTTACATCGTTGGCAGACAGATTTACCTCTACATCTTTGCCTTGTATGTCCGAAGCGGAAGCAGTTGTAGCATTGTTTCACTGGAGGGACATACTGTGAGACTTTAACTCGGTAATAATCTAAGTACATATACTCCGGGAGTTTGGAGGTTATGAATGAAACTGTGACCATTGGTAGCGGTATTCTGATTTTCTTCAGGCGATCATATCTGTACAAGCGGCGTATCTGGTGAATTTCTTCTTTGCATTTAGCTGATGCAAAAAGATCCTCGACTGGTTCATCAGGAGGGATTCCTCGAATAAGGCCAGTCTTGATGAGTCGGTAA